GGAAGTACATGCACTTTTTTGCCCTTTTAACCAGTGAGGTGGAGTTTACAGTCCAGGTGAGGTTGTCTGTGATGTGATCTTCATTTTCTTCCCTCCAGGATCAGGTTGTCTCTGCACCAGAGTTTCTCGCTTTAGGTAAAACAACTGATAGCCATCCTCAACAGAAGTATTGCCAAATTCCAGCCCAATTAATAAACACAGGGCATTTTTTTCATTTAGCCCACGCTTCCTCTCACAACCTGAAAGTATTTACAAGGATATAACAAGTTATAGCATCCCCAAAATAGTACTTCCTAAGTTAGCCAAGGCCATCTCTCTTAATGGTGTTTCAAAATGAATATTTAATACATTTTCAGTTTTTTTATCAACAGGATGGGTACCATAAATAGGTAGGAAAAACAAAGAATAAATAAAAAAATAAATATATCACGATTTGGTTGGAGGTTTTTGTGAGAACCCAAATGCAGAGGCTGAGAAGCAGGAGTGAGTTCTTTGAAGATTTAATGAATGATCACAGGCAGCAAAAACAGGAATACAAAAAATCCAACTTAAAAATGTTAAACAAAACAGGAATCCAAAAATCCAACATAAAAATTAAACACAAACCAAAACCATGGGGACATCAGGGGAAAACAATCATGAGGAGACAGGGTAAGATGAAGTAGGACGAGGAACCAGCACTGAGGGACTGCACAGGGAGTGTATTTATAGCTGACTGAACAAAGGCAGGACTAACGAGCTGATAAGGAGCAGGTGTGAGTAGAGCTGACGAGGAAGCCAAGGGAAAAGAAAACACAAGGGGGCAACAGAGGACAAGCAAAGAAAAACCTAAGAAACATAAATAAATCCAGAACACACCAATAAAGCTACAAAACAAAGAAAAACATGGATAAACCTGAAACTGAAAACTTAGAGAAAAGCAACCAAGATCGTTAAAAAAATAAATAAGTACGTAAACAACTAAATGGATTTATCAGCCCCCTCCCCACATATTTTCCTGAATTTCTCTTCCGATTCTTTCATTAAGTAGTTATGTGCAAAATCAGGTATTTTAAAGACTAAAACACATTTTTTACAAATGAATAACTGAAAAATAACAAATCCAGGCATGACCACCACGAACTATGCAAATTAGAAGTTTGTGGCTCCCTAAGGATCAGTGTAGCAGGGAGTCCTTCAGTGTGGCCCAAAGGAATGGGTTAGATACGTTGCATTAAAGTAGAGGAGGGTTAAACATGTGCTGTCTCAAAATAATATGCTGGTGAAGATTCTCACTCATCCAGGTCATAGTCATTCCAAAAAAAGTTAAAACACAATCCACATTTGAAGACGTTTCGCTTCCCATACAGGAAGCTTTTTCAATTTGAAATGTCAGAATTAGCGTTAAATTCGAAGCTTTTGTATAACAGCCCAAAAACTTAATTTGCCTTAGAAAACATGCAAATTGAACCAGAAGGACAGGTTCACCCCTTAGGCATGGGGGGGTCGTTTTGATTTATTTGTTAGCCTGCAATCGCGATACTGGTCTATGCATCTGAAAGGAGGTCATTAGGGGTAATGGCTGCCCAGGCAAAATGTTTTGTCCCCTGCATGGGGTTGGGGGTTGAAATGATAACGAGAAGGAATCTCAAAATAACTCAAAAAGTCTCAAAATAACCAAAGCTTCTTATTTACACCCCTTCAACCATTGTTAATCCTTTCAATGAAAGGCAGGAGTTCCGGCTGTGAAGAGCATCAAGCAATGTAATGCCAACCACCCCGGGTTACTTGTGCAAAGCATTTTTATTATTACCAACCAATTAGTTAGGCAATCTAGTTAGGCAACAAGTAATTTCTTAAACATTTTAGAAATTTGAGAGAGTAAAAATACATGTTAATTATTTGGCGAAATAATGTTTTGTTACTATATTTATAAACTATAATAACTTTAGATTAAAAAAATTATTTAAATGGCTAATTTATAACCTGAATATTTTATTTAAATAATATTATATTTCCTTCTAAATAGCCAGATAATCCCTTGTATAGCCTTTGACAATAGATATTTATTTTTCGGCCACATCTATGCTGTTGATATGCTTCTTAATAGTGTCGTTACAATCAGCCTTTGCTTTGTGGATATTTGCATCAATGTTTTAGCTTACATTTATCAAAACATGGAATTTTTATTTTGTTTTTTAAGAATTATTACTAACAAAATATTAATATGGAAACCTCATCGCATTTTCATCTCATTGCTTATAATTTCTAATTGAGCCTGGAAATGAATAATCTTTCTACCTATTAGTGTCTCTCACCTGTTATAATGTTTTACTTATTCTTAAAATCAAAACTAACCTATTAATTCATTTCTTGTATTTCTCTTTGGCTTCTTTGGTTATTAATTTTCTTTAGGGTTTTTTTTAATTTGTAATTTTTTTTTTATTGCAGGCTTGTTTTAATCCTGTTGTCATCCATGGTTAAAAAATGTGTTTTGGCAAAAAACATGTTGGGATTTTGTCATAGACTTTACAGTATTTCCATGAATGAGTCACATGCTTTGTTTACATAATAAACATACCGGTATATTATATCCTAATCTTGTTGAGTACTGAGGAAGATACTAATATTAAAGAAAGAAGGTGGCCTTAGGTTTTGCCTACAGTCTAACATTGACTGCCCCGTGCATCCCAGGGAGTTTCACAACGATTACCAACATAAAGCGACTGACACACTTCACACATTGTCGCTACAAGAACACATGTCACAAATCAGGCTTTGTCTCAGGCACCCATACAATCTTGAGCACATCCACCCAGAAACATCTTTATTTTCTCTAAGAAAACACAGAAGTTTGTTTGCAAATCTGCAAAAATCCAGTCTGGTCAGCCACTATTAAGGCTATTTATTGTTTGTAATTCAATGTAAAACAGTAATGAGCTACTCAACTGAAGCACTGTCCTTTAAAACAAAAAGTGAGAGTAAAACTAAAAAACATGATGTACATATCTGTACAGATAAAATGTTGAGGATTTTTGTTGATGCATAAGAAGAAAACAAAGGGGCCTGTATTCATAAAAGAATCCTATGACCAGAAGTTATTCCTGTTGACATTAAGATATTTCTTGGAATTAGATAAAAGTTATTCAAGAAGCACCTCAGGCCTATAGAGTTCCTAAAGTGAAAAACTGTTAAGAATAGGGAGGAAAACTTTTGATGAGCCTAACAGTGTCTTAAGCAGAAAAGATGGAGAGATGAGCAAGAAAGGAGAGATACTCTCTATACAATAAAAAACTGGGAATCAGCAAACTTTTATCCGCTTAGGCTGCAAAGATCATGTTTGATCTTAAATGAGCCTACTCTTACCTGATGTAGTGGAAGTAAAAAAAAAAAAAAGCACATAATCTACAGAAAGAGAGATTTATCATCCTAATAGGAGGAAATTTAAAAGTATACTACAGAAGAATCGGAATATTATCTACATACTGAAATTATTTGAAAAAAAAGATGTTCTTAGAAAGTTAAAATAAGTAGAAATATAAATACACAATTTAGACAACACATCGTATAAAAATATAAAAACTACACACACTGAACAAAATGTGAATGAGGTGAAGTATTTGCTGGTGATATCAGTATATACTCTAAATCAGTGTTTCCCAACCTTTTTTGACTTGTTTACCCCTTTGTGCATTTTGTCTTACTGTCCAAAAGTGGAACATACAATAACTAATTGTAAAATAAATTAAAAGTAAATTAAAAGTTAAAAAGATTATTTTATTTAATCTTTTTAACTGGAGAATTTAATTCTTTGGCATGTTATTCTTTCCAACTAAAAAAAACATCAAAACTATCTTCCCTGGAAGTTAATAAGGAATCAAAATAAATACAAAATAAAATCATTTTATAAATCTGCATTTATAAAACTGTAGATCTTCTGAGTAACTCCCCTGTAATCACGTTTAAACTTGAGGAATTGGGAACACAATACCGAACAAAAATTATAGTTAGACTGCCTGTATTTGTTGTACTTTGTTTTCATCTTTTATTACACCTAATCTTGCTTTGATCAGGTGAGGGAAAACAGCTAATCCCAGGCTCTTCTCTACATCCAGTCTGTTCCTCTGCCTGGTTTGGATGTGTGTCACAGCTGAAGGTGAACTCAAACATATAACTTACTTTTTGGTTGAAAAAAGGGCTTGTTTTAGTTTCTAGTGGGGTCCTCACAAATAAGCCCTATTTTATTGTATTACATGAGAAATGAAATATTTTCATGTACCCCTTGTAACACACTCACAGTCCATTAGGGGTACAAGTACCCCCTGTTGGGAATTACTGCTCTAAATGGTCATTTACTTTGCTTTTATGCAGCCCTGTCCTGCCTAGCTTCTGTCTGCAGCATATACCAGTCCTATATTTCAACGGTCCTCAATGTGGGCTTACTCTCAGCGATCTGTTTGCTAAATGAGTTGTTGAGCTGGCTGTGGCTGTTTGGGGAACACCAGCAGAGCTGAATTATCACTGTACCCCACATTAGCCTATAACTTTAATTCTAGTCAGAGTGTTTCTTTTATCAATATCTGTAAAAGTTTGTCAAAGTTCTCTGTGGTGAAGCGACGCCTCTCGTACTGATTGGCTGGACTGGACTCTTTCTTCTTTCAGGTTTTAGCAAAAAAATACATAAAAATCCCTTGGAAAAAAATACAAGTAATTGAAGTCATTGAGAGCCAATGGTAAAAAGTGGGTTAAGTATAACTTTCTGTATTTTGCCTAAAGATAAAAAGTTAAGAGTGAAGGTCTGCAGGTAGGATGGGAGGAAAGCTTCAGAGCAGGCAGTGAGGCAGAAGTTAAGATTTGTTAAGGACTGTATTTACAAATGCAAATGTTATTTTTCCTTACAATTTATATATTAAGATGTATCTAATCATACATTCGGTTTAAGCATTAGCTAAAAGTATAGCATACAGTTTTACAACCAAAGGCAGATACATTTAGCAGTTTCAGTCTCTTAATTTTACTTTAGTAAGACTCATAAGAGGAATGCACAATGCTCTATGTAGATACAGGAGATTTTATTTACTATTTTTGTGTACAAACATAGGCTGCAAATGCCTCTCAAACATGTTTTACCCTCAGAATACAGTAATCCTTTTTACAGTTCTACAAGCAGAACATTGAATAGTTAACAGGAAGAAAAAGAAAGTGACATAGTTGGTCGACAATTCTCATCCTTGAGAGTAACTTTATGTTCTCAACATAAAAAAAGTAGGCAGATTTATTGGTGGCATGACTTCAGAGAAGTGGCAGCAGAAGGTTTGTTATATTACCTATAATATGGCAATACACAACAGGGTTCCTGTACAATAAATGCACATTTAAAGCAATATGCACCATACCTTCAGGCAAGCCCACAAAAAAAAAAATTTTTTTTTTTTTTTTGGCTGGGGCTGAATTTGTGGCGAGAACATGCAGTTACAGCAACAAACTGACCAAAACAATACAGATTTAGAGTTTTATTAGACTCTCCTCTACCGCAAAACTGACAGGTTGGATTTGCAAAAAGGTTAAAAGTGTACCAGTTTGCTGCTTAATGATCCAGTGAATTGCACAATAAATAAAAGGGAAACCAAGGTATGTATTTTCTAGTATAATACATATTTTACAGTCCATGGAAAATCTGAGTTACCTGAACCTGCATCATCTATTCGGTTGTACACGTCAGAGAGCTAAACAATCACAGTGGCCAGTCTGCTGCTCGAAAAATATTGATACGCCGGGCTGACAGTGCAGAAACTCAGTTGAAAGATACCTTGGAAAAATATTTGTACCTTTTTCTTTACATTTTTTTCACATTAAAACCTCAAATCGTGTTGTATGTGATACACCAACAAAAAGAAGAGCACACCTATCAAAAGAAAGGGAAAATTATGTTTTTTTCTTCGGGCAGTAACTTCAGTCACCTGACATACAAAGCTGGTTTTCATACTCCAAAAAGCTTGAAGCTGTAACTGCCCTAAAATGACGTCTTTCAAATACAAATATGCATATAACATTTTTTATCAGAGTTTTGTTTTAACCCTTTTTTGAAAACCATGAATCTTCATTCTTTCCCTTTATAAATAAGCACAACTTTGTGTTGGTGTTTCACATATAACTCCAATAAAATGAATTCATTTTGCAGTTCATACATCATAAAATGTTTGGACTGCATTCAAAGGATGCAAATATTTTTGCGAGACACTGTATACAGAGCTACTTAGTGGTTCTTAGAGTGAGACAAACTGGCAACAAAATGCTTTAAACACAGCAGAAGAGGCAGGTAATTAGAAAAAAAACACATTATATTAAGACATGTTTCTTACATTATCTTGACATTTTAACATAAATTAAAAGATAAAGAACTTTCTCATACCAAACTAGAAGGAATCATAAATAAATTAGCATAAAAAGGCATTACAAGAGATAAAACTGCGTGGCCCTTAGAAGACCAAATTTAGCAGAGTTTAAATCACTTACAGCAACAGAGGTCGATGAAGGAATGCTCATGTATAGGATGAGCTAAGACCATGCTTGTACTTTAAGGTCCTGTCTTAGCCTATAAGAAAAAAGATGAAAGATGTGTGGCTGTCCTCAGCAAAGGCAACAGGAGGATGAAAGTTTTTTTTTTTTTTTTTTTACCACCAGCATTTCAAGCTGGCATTGAAAGTAAAATGTCTGTGGTAAACAAAAGCAGGTGTTGAGGCACAAAAAGGTTGGATAAGTACAGGCAGCTGGGACTCTGTATGATGGAGAAACACGACTGAATGATCATGTATAAAAAGGAGCAAAGGGCATGCTACTGTGAGAGGAAAAAAGAGTTAAATTATATAGTGGCTGGAAGCAAAAATCTGCAGTATAAAAGGAAAAAAAAAATATTTTACTATTCAAATCAACTGAGTTCTTGCTTCCCTTTTAACGTAGTTTCTTATACACCAGTCAACCACAACAGGAAAAACCACAACACCTTAAATCTACCCATTTTATTTCGCAGTAATAAATTGTGCTAGATATTTTTTGGTGCTCTACAACACATTTGGGTGTTTAACTGCAGGGATGATAAAGCTTTTCTATTTTAAAATATTTCCATAAATCTATTTCTTGCATTTGCAGTTAATTTGTGCTTTGAGTGATACAAAAAACAACAAAAAAATTTTCATCTGAGGCACATCTGCCCAAGCTATTTTTGAAATGGTATTCCTACCTGTTTTTGTGTGATTTAAGCAGGCAGGGATCGATAGGAAGTTCTCACAGTATTAGAACCTTGATTAATAATAATAACATCTTACAGCATTACGGTGTTTATACAAACATTTAAAACCCAATTCTCTAGCCTAATCTAATTACTTTTCTTTATCTAATTACTTTTATATCGAGCAAGAAGGCAACAACTGGGCAAACTTCTGCTAAAATAGTGTAGAATATTGATTGCAAATTCTTATATGTTATCTACAACATTTATTATTTGGAAACATTTCCTGTTTTCAAGTAAAAAGTGAAGAACACACGCCACCTAAACTTGGGAGAGGTTTTCAAGTGCATAAGATGTTTGAAGTGCATAATTACTGAGCAGACAAGCACATCTTTTAGACATTAATCAGATAGAATAAGTGAATATAGAATAGTTAGTCAGGCTATCTGCTCTGGTAACCAGCCTACAGTTGGCTGGTTACTGAATCATATTCTTCGTAACTGTACTTTTAAAACAGTTTTACTAATAAATCAGTGATGAACAACACTGTGTTTAGTAATGCTACTGATTGTCAGAGTGTGTTTGAACTGGAAATAATTCCAGCTGGATATATTTTTTTTAAATTCTGAGTAGGAGAAAAGTGAAGTAAGCTTCTTTCAGCAATAAAACCGGTGGGAAAGGAGCAACGCTCAAATACTAAAAGCTTTATAGCTTTAAATAAAACTCCTAAATTTGCAGCACCTTTGCTTGCCTCTGACTGAAAATACAAGGTATGTTTCTGTTTTTTTAGTTTTGAAATGTCAGTTTAAAACCTGAACACTGAAAAGCCAGCAACTTCATTGTTCTCAGCATTTTAGAAACCAGGGGACTGAGGATGAACACGATAACACAAAGGCGCTCAGTGCTATTTGCACTTGTTACAGACATTAAGTGTGAGAACTATTTGTTTCAGCTTTTTTTCCAAGGAAAAAAACATTTTTTTTTAAGATTTAACAAAAAAACAAGGATTATCAAAGCTTAAGGAAAAAAAAATCCCGATACCAAACATTTTCCAATGTCCTATATTAGCTTCAAGGAGGGTAAAAATGAGTTCTGGATTTCAATATTGTGGCTGAATGGTGTAAATTGAAACCTGATCACATTGTGCTTCCTCTGTCCACACAAATATATGTTTTATTAAGTTAAAAACAAACAAACAAAAGGAAAAAAAACTGACAAAATCTCAGATGAAGTTTGAACACAAAGTCATCCCCAAAAAAAAAGAATTTAAAACATAATAGAAATTATAAAACATGCCTGCATGTTATATCAGAATCAGAGCAATTAAAAGCAAGGCCATCTTTTGGGAAATTTTACAATATTTAGGCGGAAAATAAAAAGGGCAAAAAGTAGCTGATGTGCTCTTTATGAGTGCTGTTCTGTTGCCACAGAATAAATGGTACAAACAGACACAATGTCTTATTAGAGCGGGGACAGACGTCTCTAGAGATTTGACAAATATAAGGAATGCCCTGCAGTTAAATTTGCTTGTTCTTTTTCCACAGGGGAGTAACAGATTAGACTGTAATGCTTCATAGTAAAAATAAAGATATTTTGATGGAGAATTAACAGGTGAATATTATTAGAAACAAGGCTAAAATCTTGCTCATTTACAGAAAGGCTTGACGTAAATGCTAAAGGTACTATTTTTATAAAGAAAAAGACTGTGTTTCCCCACCAGTCAACCCAAAAATAAATTATAGTAAAGAATTTATAACAAAATTACAACTTTAAGATTACAAACATCTACATGCCTCATTTTCTCTGCTAAATACAACAAAAAACGATTTGGCAAGATGTACTATGTTACAACAGGACGGACATTTCAACAATTCCTACGTAAGAAATATATTGCTTCCTGTGCATTTAAACTGGAGACTAATTTAAGAAAAAAAAACGAGACAAGAAAAACAAGTCTGCTTTTTTAGTACAAAAAAAAAAGCATTAGATTACAACTATCTTTTATTATTAAATACCTATTTTCAAGTCATAGCTTTCCACTCCAGCCAGGTTTGTTTACGCTGTAAACACAATCACAGGTGTTGGCTTCCTGTGCCTTCCAAAAAAAAGGTTGATAAAAAGGCCAAAAAATGTCTCATCTATATCAAAATAATGTGTAACTTTTAAATAAGACGTGGTAAGAGCCCGGACGTGGAAAACAATTTGTGATTGTCCAAAATAAATGAAAACTTGAGGTATAATGCTGCAAAGTAAAGGTACGTGAAATCCAGAAAGATGTGTTGAACTTTAACACGTCTGCATTTATGAGACGAGAAAAACCCAAAATGTGACAGAGGCAGATCGTCTGCTGAATGACTACAGCTACCAAACATACTAACTACTGGGTAATGATGTGTATAATCACGAACTCAAATCCTCAGAGGAGAAGAGATTATTGGCGCCCTCTTGTGTTCTGCAGAGACAATCCTTCCAAGTCAATTTAAAAACACACTACTGTAGGCTCACTTTGAGCCAGTGTCCATCCCCATTTCACACCTCTGCCGGTCATAGTCCAGAGCAGACAGAGTCGGAGTAAACTCTACACTTCAGTAGAGAAGAGGATGCTTTGTCGTTTACTGTCTGGGGTGGGAATGGTTTCCAGCTGCAGGAAATACAGCAAGACCTGGACCTGAAAGCACAACAGATAACAGCTGTAAGTTAGAAACTAGGATGTGACGTAATAAAATAAGAATGATTATTTTTATTTGGCCTACTTCCTTGATTAAAGTCATCAAATTATGTTTATGAGATAAAATATAAGTAGTATTATTTAATTTATTGGGAATGATAGAATTTTTTATGCTCCTTGACTTATTGTCTTTATTGGTATTTTTTCTGAAATAATGTTAGTCTATCCAAATATTCTGGCTTTGATTAAATTTGTTTCAATATAAATTAATTTGAAATATCTTATTGACTCCAAAGGGAAATTAAAAGCTGATATTCTTCAAAGATTTATTTTTTCTTATAGATGTTAATACCCACATCAGTCAACAGAATAGTGATCCCTAAAATGTTTTAGGGGAAAAATGGGAAATGTGCCTTTGTGTTCTGGCTCTCTTTAGATCAGTACATGATTTGCTGCTTTTGAGTTATTCTAGCCTACTTCATGTCGTCCTGCAGGTTCTATTTAGATAATAAATAGATCAAATAATCTATAATGAAAATGAACAAAATTCTTAATTTAAAAAACAAGAATTTTATCAGACAAACAGGAAAAATTTCCGTATAAAGCCTTTTTTTCTCTTAATAAATGAATATTTAAATACTGCCCTTTCCATTTAGTCAGCTTCTTTTCATCTAATTTTGAATTAGATTAAGAACTAAACTTTGACCCATCCTAAGGAAAAATTAAAAACAGTAGGAATCTGTAGGAGGTACATGTTTCCACAGCAATTTAATTTAAACTCCACATTAGCTGTTTAACTAGCAGACAGAGGACTGAGTGATGCTGGGTTTAGCTCACTTGTGCCATAACTTCCAGGGACCAGCTGTCCCCCATGCTAATGGGCTGAGTGGGGTTAGAGGGGATCTTGCTGTCCTTCTCCGCCGGCCTGAGCAGGGTGGGACCAAACACGGTTGCCAGATTGTGCAGAGACATCTTGTTGACACTTTCCTTCTCTGCCACCCTGGGAAGAGGACAACAAACAAGTGCTATTGGTGCCAAGGATCTCAGATGGTGGCACAGTGTTGTTTATGGGGGAAATCTTGTTCCCAACTGCTTAAAAGGTCTAATCACTAGTAAGAAAGAAGAATTGTTAGGGTATTTGGCTTTAAACAGAAATCCTTTAAACAAAAATTTAAAATAAGAACTGCAGTAGAGTTTTGAGAACTGATAAACTGAAACAGAAACGAGTGAACCTGAAACCTGATGGTCTAATGCAGAGGTATAAAACTCAAATACATACTGGGCTTAGATTAACAACAGGATGAGGTCGTGTGAAAGTCTTAATAGCGAAAAAAATGTTTTTACTGCTTTTTAGATGAGAAAATATATCTTTTCATATTGACACAAACCTAAGTTTCTCATAAAAGGAAATATATTCTCAAATAACGTACAGATTTGGATCACTATCAGAGGAGTTTGGGATTTTTGGTATTAGTACGGCTGCAACTGTGGATCTGTTGATTATTCTTTTAATTATTGGATTAATAATGGGATAGCAAAAGGTTCCCTAAAAAGCTTTTGTTAGAATTTAAACCATGTGAAACTATAATTATTCCACTTGAAGTGTTTTCTTATGCTAAATACAAAATATATATATATTTTGCTTTAGGCCTACAACTTTTAGTATATTTACTTCTCTAAGTGGGTTGCTCTGTCAGCTAAAGGTATGTTTTGGAGTCTCTATACACCAGTTAACAATTAATCAATTACTAAATTAATTGACTGTTATTTCAATAATCGATAAATCTTTTCAAACCTAAGTATAACTTGCATTGCATGTGGAACCGGGTGGTTTATTGGGTGTAAATTCCCACCCGTTTTGGGTCCTTGAACGCATCAAAGCTCCGTTTCTTTACCGTCACGTCTGCTTTACAGAATTGACAGGCTCATTAGCGTATATAGGCACCAGGTGTGCGAGCAAGCTATGAGAGTCGGCTCAGTTTGGTGTGCAGTAGATCAGAAACAGTAGAACATGTGCTGTTTGAGTGTATTAAATATGCAAGTCAAAGAATAGATCTAAGGAAAGGACTGGAACATGAAGGAATCAAAAAACTGAACATTAAAAATATCTTCTCAAATAAATCCAGAAAGACAGTACTTAAAATCATGTCATCTTATCTTCAAAAAACTGGACTAAACCTAAGGATTTAAGGAAACATAAATAAGATCAAGTAGGTGGCGATAATGCTCCATTTGGTTGCAAGATGCCAGTAAAACAAGAAGAAGAAGAAGAAGAAGAAGGTGTGCAGTAGATTCTTTTGAGCGTTGGGAGCCGTGCTGCTACACAGAATTTGGATCTTGATATTCGCGCTGCTGGAAAAGTTGTGTTTTCACTGCAGCTGCACTTTCTTCATGAAAGCCTACTCCAGTAAAAAAAATGGAAAATATGGGACAAGCATAATCTCGCTATTAGCCAAATTTGGCCTAAAGCCTTGAGTTTGTACCTGCTAATTATTATTTACCTCAAAAGGTCATGACAGAGTTCTGTTAATGACCTCAAACTTTAAAGTCTTAGCTAGAAGTTGCAATCCGGTGCAACACACTAAATGATATGCCAAGAGCCGAGCTGACAATCAATACTACAAATAAAATAAATATAATGCTAGCAAATAACCATTTACATATTTGCATTTTGTGTGCTAAAATACCAAGATAAGATGTTCACCACGGAACTCATTTTCTGTTACAGTATATGATAAAAAAAAACTTTTTGTAAATTAATTTTAACTGGTTTAATCTTTTTTCATTTAAAGAGGCTAAAGCTGGACTTTTCAGCAACAAACAGCACCGGTCGACTCATGTGATCATGGAATCATAATGCTTTTGAGTACATAGAAAAAAAGCATCATCACATGAATGCAAAATAAAAAAACAACAACATAATAGTAGCAGCAGGAATCTGTAATCTTAAATCGATGCACATGGCTCATTTAGTGTCTTGTCTTTCCCATGCATGTGTCCGAATATAACGTTGGTATGTGTTAATTTACGATATCATTACCTCTTGAGGTGATCGAGAAGGAAAAGGAATGTGACCAGGTTTGGTTCTGGCAGTGAAAGCAGCAAATTCAGCATACAGCTCTCTTTGGCAACACTATCAGTGAGGGCTGCAGAGAAGCAAAGGAAGACAATAAAACAGCTCACATGATTGCGATGATTTAAAAAAAAAGAAGAACAATACTTGAAAACTCTCTTCAAACAGCTCATTTTGATGATCAGAGTTATTTGACTTACTGATGCCACCTGCAAAATTAGGGTAGAGCTCATCGGTGAAGAGGGGCTCAGGTAGTTCTCTGAAATATAACTTTAGGGTCCCAGCGATGGCATTAACATCCATCTCGCTCATCATCACAGACACATCTTTATTATCTGCAAGAGGAAAATAATAAATCGTAAAAGTGAGAGGAAATTCAAGGTAGTCACCTGCTTAATATCTAACTCTGGACAAAAATGGTGACAAATAAATATAAAGAAAATATTTGATTTAATATGTGCAAGAAGGATATTTTAGCTGATCGTAATTCTCTCATAATTTTAAATACAGATTTAAAGAAAACTAATGAAATGTCTCCATGCTGTATGGCATTTCATTTTCTATCTAAGCAGCATGTGGATTAATGCAGGACTTACTTGTGTCAAAGGCAGTTTTCAAAGCCTGAATATCTGTGGCTACTCCTGATACACGATATATTCCCACCTCCTCCATGCCTCGCCTCTCTATCTCTTCTAGGCACTGACGGACGATATAGGGCACCTTGGAGCGTTCCCGTCTGGAACAGCACAACAATAAAAAAGGGAGGATGAAGAAAAACTAATTTTATCTGTTTACATCAATATTTTTTTCATTTCAAAGTTAAGTATTTTTGCAGACTTATCAGACATCTCAGTCCCATCTCATGCATGGATAGAAATGGAAATATTGTGGATTTCAGTAAAAATTTCCTTTAAGTTCCGTTTATAACTCAAGGTGATGAAAAGTTTTCTATGTAAGAAAATCCAGCCAGTTGCACCAATTTTAAACTAAACTAACATATATCATTGTTTACACAATCTTCTTAACATAAGAAATCCATCAGAGAGCAAGCATAGGGTAACAGTGGAAAGAAGCTTCTCTCTTCAACAAAAAAGATTTCATTTATGTGCAGATTGTTATACTGAAAAATCTCTTTACTACTTAATCAATCAATTAAATGACTATCAATATTGACTTAACATTTAAATAAACGGCTATGAATTAGATAACATTACAAAAAGTAATTTTTGGGGATTTTTGTATAAGCTTAAAATGGAAAAAAAGACTGATACTTATTTAATTTTACAAGATCTAATCTGCTTTTCATATTATTGTCCTATACAAGGAGTCACTGGCCTCACTTTGAGATTAATCAGCACTCCAGATTAAGCTGTTGGCCTAAACTAATCAGTGTGGAGTAAAATAAAAGACGTAACAGCGGTGATACGGTGATACGCCGTGTTACATTGGCTTAGGCTGAAGGAGTTTGCACTGCAGCCGGAGGGTTGTCGGTTCAAGCCCAGACTTTCAGTGCCGTTGGGAAAGACACTTAACCCGCATTTCCTACTCATGGTGGTCAGAGGACCCGGTGGCACCAGTGTACAATGTAGCTTGCCACCATTAGTGTATGTGTGAATGGTTAAATGACTGAATGTAGAGTAAAGCACTTTGGCTTGAAAAAGCGTTATAAAAGTACAAGCCGTTCACAATTTTTTACCATTACTGACAAAACTAGCACTTGAGAAACATAAAGGTCTTACAATGAGCTCTGAGGACAAATACCAAACTATAGCACTGTTGCTTGAGGTCATGCAGCCCAATTGGCTGCTTTCTATGCATTTATTCAAGGTTTTCTTTAGTCTAATGTCAACTTACTTGGTCACTGTGGAGATTTTTACTCCAAACACACCCATGGGTTTCTCTGAGGGCATCCTCTTCAGGCTGAACTCTCTGCTGGTGAACTTTATAGACAGTTTCACTTCAATCTGGAATGGAAAAAAGTTCACACAAGTTTAGAAGTAAGAATCAGCCATTAAGGTCATAAATTCATTTATAAAAGCTTTCCCAGATCTAATATAGCAGTGTTTTACAGAGTAAGATAAAAAAAAAGTCAAAACATAATTAGATTTAAAGGAAATGCATTAAATGAGAGCAAAAAACCTTATACACTCACCCCATTCATGGGAATGACTGTTCTCTGCCAGTCTTTGCCTTGAAGAGTCTGAGGGTCGAGCTGAAATGAACAATTAAAAGTTTTAATACCAGATCAAGTTATAATTGAATTGTAAAATATGCATATTTATTAGAATTTCTCAAATACTCAAGCTTTGGAAAAAATAGAACTATCTAAATCTTTTTTTATAAATTCAGCTTAAACCTGCCTTAATGTTGTAGGTTTAAACTTTTTTTCTTCTGTCCACATGAAATAAAATGAGGAGTGCATAATGCTATGATCATGTATCAACAGCAAGGCTTTATCCTCTCCAGCAGACAAGCTTCAGGGATGATGCTGATATCCTGCTTTTACTACATTTTCCAGATATGAGATTAACTAATATGATTTATTTGCAGTGACTAAACCAACAACCCAACACACAGAGAACTGAGAGGCCATCTGGAACAATACACACTGTTGCAACAGACATGATGCAGCGTATGAAAAGAGACACCGAATACTGTATGTTGATGTAGCCTGAGCCCCTTCTGGTTGCATGCAATGTTGGATCTCGTTTCACATAAATGAATTTTGTGTAGCTGAGAGTGTCTTTTGTTTGAGCAATTTAATTATGAAGAATTACATTTCATTTAAAAGAGAGAGGCTTTTTCTTTCAAACTGTTTTATGGTTTGAGTTTCAATTTCCTGCAGCAAAAATACACTTTTTGTTCTATGGCATTTAGCAGACTTACATGTAGTATTTGCAAAACTGATTATTTAAAAAAATAATAATGATAATAATAATTATATATATAACCTGAAAAACAATTTTTCTGCAAAAATACACACAATATATAAATAAAATAAATATTTAAGGGATGAATGACAAAATTTTCATCTGCACCCTGCACAAAATAAAAGGCTTTCTGTTGTTTTCCCCTGGTTTCTTAGCTGCAAACAAAGAGAGATGCACATAAAGAAATAAATTACAAATAAAACTAAATCAGTGTCCACCAACTAAAAGATAAATCCTTTTCTGCTTAGTGAGATTACTGAAAATCTTGTTAAATATAATTTTTATCTCTCTGGCAGCTGGTTTTCAATGACATCATCCCATTAAGAAAGGTTGAAGCTTCAGAATAACAATAACAAACAAGACCACTAGAGGGAGTATATGTCTAGGTTTGTCAGACAACAAGGAAGCAGACTTTTTTGCTGCAGTTTGACAAAACCAAATAACATCCAGACAGCTCAGATTAGAACTGTTAACTAATTAACCAAAACAAACCTCTGCTCTGGGTTTGGTTATTTATTTATATATTTTCCGGAAGAATTATATTTATCTTTTTTATCTTTCTTTTAGCTAATTTGCAGTAATGTCTCAAGGCTGCCGCTCACTTGGCAGCCTCATCGCTGACACTCTAAATCTGCCTTCAGTGTCAGAGTAACGTCAGTCGTCTGGTTTTCTGACAGCTAATCCTGCCAGAGCAACAATAGATAAGAGGTAGAAAATGGCAGCTTTTTGTCTGCGTGTCAAAAAAATCCCTCCCTCAAAGTAAACGAGAGCTTAACTGACAGACACATCTGTTATTTGCCATTCAGGTATGAGGACCTATTACCGTAACAGCCTAATAATTGTCTTTCTAAATCATGCATAGCTGTCAAATCAATATGCATTTCATGCTTAGCGGCTGTAGAGATGACATAAGTCCAAATCGATACTGAGTCATGGTGAGTCTACTGATCACAATGGGATAGGGGGTGATGTCATGTCATACCAGGATCTGTCCTTTCCCAATGATGCGGTCTGTGCTGTCTCCGTCTTCTTTGTTCAGCTTGGTCCTGTTATAGCTCTTCTCGTAACAGAGCAACCTCAGGGTCTGAGAGCCCTCCAGCTCGATCTCAAACTCCTTGAAGCAAAAGAACAGATTTATTTTGTTTTGCATGAAAGAGTAAAAAAATTAGACAATTATAGATTATCCAGCTGATCATAATTCCTTGCTATTATGTAAGGCAATGCTCTACATACGGTTTGAACATTGTTATGAGATCCACACAGTGTCAGTTCATTTTGCTTTAGGACAGATGTGAGTCATTGCGTGCTGCAGATCCTCATTAGTTCATATTATTTCCATTTTGTTAAGCAGAATTCTAGCAGTTTTTTTTAAACATTTCTCCTTTCCAAGTTTGGTATTATGAGTGCTAAGTGCACTACTCTTGGTGTATATGCAGACTTTGCTCCATCTCTTCAGATTGTTTACTTCTATTGTATACTCTCCTGGGTGTCATTTTATGAGCTGCAGTTGCAGCCATTAAAAAGTAAAGATTAATCTTCCTCACAAATACAAAACAATCCAAGCGCTTTAGCAGAAAAAAAAAAGAAATCAGGAAAGACAGAATGACGCAAATTAGTGGTTTTGCCAGTCTGATTACGTTTGGAAGCTTGTTATATATCCTGCATACACAATAAAATTTGAGAAAAACAAAGGAACTGTGTCACATACATGTCCAAACTTAGAAGTTAATATTTAGTTCAAATGTGTATTTTAACTCAACATGGAAATATACATTTTCGTTTTAAAAGGATTATTTAAAAGTATTTTTTGTGTGTTTTTTTTTGTTTTCAGTGAAACCATGATGAAGGCAGGTTAAATAGGGACAATTACCACTTCATGAATGTGCCAGTTCCTCCCACTGGCCTCTATGATCTTGCATACCATTACAGATTTTTATTTATCACCCCTGATCTGGAGAATGAGATGGTCATGAAAAAAAGTTTTTTTATAACTTTAGCTAATATGTTTTTTTGTTGGTTTATCCATATTTTGTGTCATTACTATGTAATAAGAATCCCCAAGTTAAATCTTTTAGGGGAAAATCTTTTCGGTAGAGAAAAAGGCTCAAAGCATCATATTTACACCACTCTGCCTAGTAGTGGGCATGTTCTTCATTTCCACATATTCCTGTTTTGTTTTACACCAGATACACACATTGTGTTTTTTGTCGTAAACCTCTATCATGTTGTCATACAGTTCTCAGGCATCCCTCTTAGGTTGCTATTTAGTTAGTTGCTACAGAGACTTGATGACACCTGACCATAAACTGAAAGAATCCCCTCTTTGCTTCAGTTCTTCACCTTCAAACTTTAAAATATTTTAATCTCCTTTCCTTTCCTGTGCCTGGCATAAAGATAAACTTGGGTCCAGTCGTTTTTCGCTTGTTTCCGGTCCAAGTTATTACTTTGTGCTCTGACTGCAGACGTAGATAGGTGTAAGCAAGTTACTCATGAGGATCAGAATGTTATTGCCTCGACTGAGTGTCATGTTCTCTTGTGCTTTCTACATTAAAGAATGTTAAAAGTAGTAAATTAGATGCTACTTTTGGATTACCAAATAAAATGGAAACATTATGAATAGCAAAAAAATTAAAGGATGAATTGTTAGGTATGTGATTTTGATAAAGGGAATTGTTTCTTACATGGGATGTCTTTTCACCCATTAATAAATGTACTCAAACAATAACAGATGGATTCATTCTACGGCTTTTTATATAGCTTTTTTTTTCTCTTTTGAGTTTTTACAGCACTAATGGTTTGTTTTTTCGACAGTAGGCTATCAGGAAACGTAATGAGAGAGGGGGAGAGACATGCGGCAAAGGACCACAGGTTGGATTCGAACCCGGTTTGGCCGCATTGCACCACCAAAGCACACCCCTTTTATACCGGTTTAACAGGGGTTACAATAACTGAAGAGGTTGCTGTGTTCACCAGCTCCTAGGCATTAATAACTGTATGTTTTAGTGTGTTTTCTGTGTGTTTTTGTGGCCTGAAGATGCTCCTTTCTGTGGGTTTTGATGGACATATTTTTACTACCCAGAAACAGACAGCCAACTAAATAAAAGAGCAGATGCCAAACTTATGACAAGCCGTAAACAGCGCACATGGAAGAAAAAAATGTTTTAAGTGGATATTGCTCTGTAAAGAGAAAAACAGATGGTTTTTCAGTATTAGGTTTTTTCCTAAAATTCATAGCAAAATGGGCCTAGTAAGGATTAAGTGGTCATGGGTTTAATTTGCGCTAAAGTGAAGTGCTTTTGTATTTGTATTTTTTACCTCGTTCCACTTGGGTTCAGTGGTGTATCGGTAGACTCTCGTCTTTGCTTTATTCAAAAAGAAGCCAAATGTGTCCACCTCCAATGTGCAATAGAGATCTGACAGAGAGATGACAATAGCAGATGTAAAACAATAACATAAAACTACATATAAAATGATATTAATTTAATTGAAGCACAACATTAATGTTTCTTAGTTATTAGTGTTGCCTAATATTGTTTTAAATACCCTAAATCTCAAACTGAGTGACTCACTTAAACTCTGTTTGAGGCCAGAGGCAGAATGGACGATTACATTCAGAAATCCATAGAGACCGGAGGAGTCATCCTCTGGAAAAACAGCAGAGAGAATGGAAAAGGACATCAGCGGGGGCAGATTAGAAAAGCATGCACTTCACTGTTTGTTCTGGAATTGATTCAGGTGGAGGGGAAGAGAAAGAGCAACAGTGGATTGAGAACATGTAGCCTTTGTAATCATTTCATTCTTGATGCACAAAAAAAAGAAAATGTATCTTTAATGCACAATAAAAAAGATTCTACCTTCTCTATTCAGACTAAGTGGAATGTTGTGAACAGTTTGGAGTTTGAGACAGGAGCTGGTCAACATTTGCAGCTCCATGGACGTCAGAGAGGGCGTTTTAACACCTGGAGGACAAAGAGGAAGTTTATATGAAAACCAGTGAATATAAAAACAAAACAAAAAGATATATTATGGGAATTAGGGAACGATTTTGACTAAAAAAGAATATATTCACTAGAAGCATTTAATCAAACAATCATTGCACACTCTGATGTTGGTAGCAGGGAATGTTTTCCATTAATTGGATCAGACAAGACATGTCTGGAAGGACATCTCTGCAGCACTCACATTTCTGCTGCTGTTCCCTGATTATCTCCCTCCACTCTGAACGCTCATAGTCAGAAGAAATCAGGAAGCTGTAACTCTGAGAACACAAACACACACAGCGTTTACAAGAGAACGCCCAAAAATGGCAAATTTTTCCACTGTTTCTGAATGCATAAGACAACATAGTGGACTGGGAAAAATGATGTGCTTAAATGACTCAGATCAGACAGATTTTAATATATAAATAAATAAACTGAATTGAATATCAGCATAATAGTATGTATTTTAAATGACAGCTACATTCATTAAAGAAAATAATTACAGCTGAATACAGCCGGAATGATAGAAACATCAAACCATTGAAATAGCACCTGGGATGTAGGTCAAAATATGTAAAAATGCATTATGTCATGTAGGGCTGAAACAATCTGAGTAATCATGATTAATCGATTATTGAAATAATCTTCAACTATTATATAGTAGTCCATTGATTGTTAACTGGCTTATAGACTAAAACATGCCTTTAGCTGACAGAGCAACCCAATTAGAGCAGTAATTATATCAGAATTGTAAAAAAAATAATATGTAAACATTTTTCATTTAAGATAAAAAAAACATTCCTTCTGTCAATATGCTCTATCCAGAACTCCTGAAGTGGAAAAGTTTTTGTTTCACCTGGTTTAATTTCGTAAAAAGTCTTCTTTAAAGATTCTTTTAAAGAGGCTTCCATCCTATTTTCAAAAGTTGAATTAATGTGCAAAATAATTGCTAGTTGCAGCCCGAATGTCACGTCTCAGTCTTAAGAAATTCAAAGCAGCCTGTTATTATAAAAGGAGAAAACATCCAAGCATGGAAAGACTTTTTGAGGACAGGCTGGGAACTATAAGGACACAACAACGGCTCATTCAGGAAGTCATCCAGGGCAACATTTAAACCACTGCTGACATCACTCATCAAGTAACGTAATTGTTCATGAATAAACCATTAGGAAATGCAGCAAAAATGGCATACATGAAATACTGCTAACCAGAAAAAAAAAAATGTAAAAAGAAAGAAAACACAAGAATAAAAGTGAAAGTTATTAGACAGACTGAATATCCTTTCTTCTGATATAAAACTAGGAATATTTCAGAAAAATAACATCACACCGCCTGTTAAACTGTAGCACACCAACTAGTTCACCTCTGAAGAGCTAAAAACATGAAGGTTTTGGGGCGACATAGTCAAAGTCAATTCAGTCCAATTAATACACTGTGGCTTAAACAAGTTGAATCCTCTTGTTTTATACCAGGGTGTAACAGTCAGTTATTACTGTAGGTTCTGGGAGGAATATTCCTTAAAATGATGTCTAGCTCTGTTCTTGATTAAATGTTATCATTGTTTCTTCTTGTGTTCAGGGTAGTTTTGTTTCACTCCTAAATATGTTTAAAAATCTGAAACATTTAAGTACGAAAGAAAGGAAGGCAAAATCATACATGGCTTTTTCAACACACTTTATGTTAGGGACAAAAGTTTAATAAAATGTAGAAGACATATTGAGAATGGGGCAATATTTATAGAAAGAAAAGCAAGTTTCTATAATGGTTGCATCATCACCTTTCCGTTCTTGTTGAACAGTCTGAGGGGCATGCTGGGAGATGTTAGCAGCATCAAAGACTCTTGTTCTGACAGTTTCTTTCGTAGTCGGTCGATCACTTTTGAACCCTTATTGGCTCTCTGAAATCCAATATTAAAAAGAATTAGGTACTTAATTGAAAATCAGGTTCTCAACCCAAAAAACAAAAACAACCCTGAAACTTTTATCTCCATTTGGAAATGTCCCCATGCATCTTACCTTCTCCCTCTGAATCTCACTACGGAGGTGTGAGATCTTGACCTTAACAGCATCGAGCTCTTCGTCCGGGACTTGGGGAATGGTGAGGGGCTCCGTTTCTTCAGGGCCTTGAAAGGTCAACTCGGTCAGGGGGATGTACCACTTACAGTCGTACTGTTGGTTTTTACTGCATTAGGATCAGGAAAAAGAAAACCAAGAAGTACAGGCAAGATTAAAGTATAAACGTGCAAAGCATGAGATCAATACAGAGAGATTACTGATACAGATGACTGCCAGGGTGGATTTATTGGGCATTTAAAGAGGAAATTCTAGTTTTGTTCTGTTTTTGTGTGGATTTTTTGCAAGATTTTCCACAAAATAAACGCCATTTTAAAAGTATCCCTTGCTTAACGCGTTCTTTTTATTTTCCACTGAATACTCTGCTTTTAATCATCAGTTTGTAATACTTTCTTCTTTTTTCTGTGAGTAGAAATCATGTTTGTTTTATAGTTCTTATGTGTTCGTTCTCTTTCTAATACCTACAGAGAGCGAAGTCAGGTTAAAGCAGACTTTAACCTGACTTTATGACAGTTTGTAAAATGTCCTTCTTTTTTAAGCCTTAACAGTGACATGTCCACCTCCTGCTGAGGGTTTTTCACTTGGAAATGTGACAAATGTTTTCTTTATCATCAGGCATCACTCTCGTCTACCACTTCACTATTTCTTTTTGGAAATGTACTGAGCTGTTGCTCTGAAATCATCCTTCCTGCTCAGTTGTTTTATCCGAAATGTGACCTATCTTGAGATGATTTCACAGCAGCAACTACCAAATGCTTATATGTGATAGAATAACGTCAACTTAAACAACTCCTAAGTCACTTTTCCAACTGTAACTTGTATGATTTGGGCCAAAAAAGTGTAAAAAGCAGTAAATCTTTTTTCTCATATTTTTTTAGAGAAAAAGTTTTTTTTTTACCCTCCTATCTGCTTTTTCAGTTTGGCACAGAGAAGCAGATCGGTGAAGAGGAAGACATGCCGCAGCTTCCTGGTTCCCTCCACCAGCTCCACCATGAAACTGTCCTTCAGCAGCTGGCGGTTCTACAGGAGAAAGAAACAACAGCATTTAATTCAGCAGGATTATAACCAATAATTTAAATGTGTTTCTTTTATTTGATCATTTTCAAATGTTTCAATGTGTTAAACCAACACCAACTTGAAATAATCTAAGTGAAATGATAGATACTTTTTATATTTACTTTTTTTTATGAAATAAAATCTGCTAAAGCACTTTTTGGAGTATGCTCTAGCTTCAGAGCTGAACTTTCAGGACCCAGAGCTGAACTTTCAGGACCCAGAGCTGCACTTTCAGGACCCAGAGCTGAACTTTCAGGACCCAGAGCTGCAGAGCCGCACTGTGAGGTCTCCTGTTAGAACTGTAAATTTATCCGAAGACTTAAAAAGTAAAAGCTAAGTTGGTTCAAAGCCTTTCTAAAGTAAAAGCTAGTTATGATAAACTCCCCCTGAAGCTAGTTTCTTTTCACAAGCAAGTGTTGTTATGCTGGAAACGTATGTACACGCACAGTTTTACTCCCCATCAAACTCCTATCTGGAATAATAGGTATGTGCTACATGGAAATATCTCTGTATTTGGATCCCTGGATGGAAAAGGGCATTTGGTCTATAAAATATTTTCTAAATGACAATGGAGGTTGGCTGTCCTGAGAGGATTTTTGCTTACTGTACAATTTAAATTGCTCTTACGCTAAACTCTAATCCAGCAGCAAACACGTGCTGTGCGCCATTCCCAAAGGATTTGAATACAAGTTTTGCAGTTGCATTTTGCAGGTCTGCAACGAAGAGTCCTGACAGTGCAGGTCTGCAGCCAGACTCTCTTGCTTTTTTGAGGAGTTAAAAGTATTTTAAATGTATCATTTCTTGCCATTGAAGCTTAAACTGCATCTTAGCAAGATGTTTACAACTTCTTTACACCATTTGTTTTTGCACTACAGCTAAGGTCAGTCAAATTGGATAGAGAAGGTTTCTAAACATATATTTCCACATCTGATTCTCAATTAAATTTATGTCTAAACCTTGTCTTGGCCACTCTCATTAAAACATCACAGATATGGTTGCATGTATGGGATTGTTAATCTGAAATCGTGTTCGGTCACTAATACGATTTCTTCTTTTTGAGATCCTGACCAACAGCTGTCGTGTCAAAGTTGCTGCTTGTTCAATATTTTGTTTTGCACACAGGTGCATCTTTATCAACCAATATGTGATTTCCTAAGGCAGCTGATTTAACTTCATTCTTTTGAAAGAATAAACATAAAGGGGGCATGCCAGTTTTATTACAAAAGAGGTTTTATAAGCAAGAAAATAAGGGGAAATATAAATATTAGCTTTTCTTCCTCTTTGTAATTATCAGCTACTTTAGATTGCTCTATCAAACAGAATCTGAGTAAAATGCACTTAAGCTGAGGTTGGATATGACAGAATATGTAAAAGGTCAAGAACTATAAATACTCCAGCAAGACTCTTATATAATTTTCAAATCAAGCCAGAATGGAGACAGAGAAACAGAAACATTTAGAGAGAATCGAGGAGCACATTGAGGAAGGTCTCAGCGTTAAAATAAAGCCCTTAGGCTGGAATTGAAAACTTGGATTTAGGACATTTTAGCAGTGATTCAGATTCTGAAAAGCATCTCTGTCTGTGAGCTATTCATCACAAGTATCTATTTTCAGACTGCAGGGAAATGGTGGGAAGTTTCTTACAAATAGGAGGACTGATGTTCGTCGCTGATGTCAGACTACATAATGAGATATGTAATACTGCCATTTACCAAAAGGGGGCAGTAAAGTTGTATTCTAAGGAATTGGAGAAAAAAAACTAGTAAGGCCAGCTAATATAAAACCACAGTTTAGGTTCAAATGGCTCAATTTTATTTCCTTTAAACCTCAGCTTTAATTGAGGGATGAGGAGTAAAAACAATGACGGGAGACGGCTTGCTCTCCTCTTTTAACTTTCATTTTTTAGGAACTAAAAAACGTATCATGTTGGGAGTTTTTGACAGAAAAACAAAATTTCTTCTGCTATCAAAAGCGCAACCAAAGCCATGGCAGCTGATTTTCTGCACCTGAGTTAAGCCTTATAGAGTTTTATGTTCCAAGTAAAGCAGAAAATTATCAAAACTTCAGATAGAAATGTAAAAAGCTTAAGTTTCAAACCACATCTTCAATGAAATCATAAAACTTCATTACCTTTTGCTGCTGGCATCAAACCTGTAACAAAAAAAATCTTTCCCCTGCAGCAAAGCCATGAAGCATGACATCATGTTTGTACGGAGCCAACTACATCCTTGTCATCGTGTTTGTGACCTCCCCTCTTTTCAATTTTTTCTCTCCATTCATCGTATCAGTCACCACTAGAGTAGAGCTAAAGCTATAAAAAAAAAAAGAAAATTTGCATCTTCGCAAAAATACAAAACTAATTTAATTGGATTCATTTTCTGAGTCAGAAGCTGAGAACATGTGAATCACATAGAGGGAGGTAGCTGAGGAAGTATGACTAAGATTTGCAGGAAAGAGGAGTAATGAATGAGGGAGCCCATGTAATGATATCTGAGACAAAAACAGGGAGGAGAAGGAGTAACCAGAGGAGATCCCAGAGGAAAGTCTATCAAACAGATCCTTCTTACTGTACATAAATACCAAGCCATGTGATCTGGCAGCAGCATATCTCTACTGCACTTATGGCAATCCTAACCAAAAAGTAAATAATCAATTTAACCCAATAGATAAAGTGATACACATTTCCATAATTAAGAAATCCATACTTAACTCCTGGTGAATTGTTTCCATATTTCTAGTTACAGCCTACGTTTCCATCTGTCATTCCACAAGAAGCATTTCAACAAGGTTGAGGTATGTATTGTGAATAGTGGGTTTCTGAGAGGGTTGTTCTTTCTGCAAATCATATGAGTCTAGTTATCATTAATTACTAAATTAGTTGACAATAATTTCAAAAATTGATTAACTCCCTTTAATGTGACTCACTGTCTCAGCTCTATTGAGTGTTAGTGTAGAGTGAACAAAAAGAAAGCTATAGTTAAAAGAAAGCGAGTCCTGTTTGTCACAATCCATGCAGGGGATACAAATGTGGAACAGGGTGCTTTGGTCATGTGAGAGCACAACTTATTTAGCTTCTTTTAAAACAATACAAGCAGTGGGGAGCAAACACAGCATATTAATGCAGAGACAATGGTAGTATCATACTGTGGGGATACTTCAGCTTGGAAAAAGAGATGCTAGTTATTACAGATTGGTAGATGGATGGCGCTGAAGAAACAGAAGAAAGTTGTGCTTGGGATTCAGCTTTTTTATTTTGTAAACTATTGAAAACCATGCAGCACATTCTATCTTCTACCTTGGTGAATTTTTACATTTTTAAAATAAAATCCAGATCAAATACACTGAAGTCTGTGGTCCTGACGGGAAAGTATGAACATCTTCAAGTTGTATTAATACTTTTAGAAGGCTAGCGCTGCTTTCCTCAGCTACAGACAAATAGAAACTACCCCTAATACTTAACAACCGGTGAGGGAAATGTTTCTTTCCTCATTTCTTCCTGCAGCTGACCGCCACATAAGAAAATACAAGTCATGTACGGATTAAATATTGACCAACCCTTGGAGGAGCCTCAGCAAGAACGTAATGTACAAGTAATGGCATGGTTTATTTTTAGAATCCATGCTTTAAAAAGTCAGCTTTGCACTTGAGTGAATGTGTGTGCATTCTATGTTTTCTTATCTGGTTTGTAGGCTAGATTGAGGCATCTTCTTTGGGAGAAAAAAAAGGGGGGAATTGTGTGAATTAATGTGTACATTTCCAGTTCAACACTCAGATCTTTTTTATTCTTCTGAAAAGGCAAACATAGCCGAGCAAGGACATAAGTCACGTAACCTGAATTTTAATTAAGTGCTTCCTGTTTACGGCCCCCCAAGTGGCATGGGGCCAGGCCCTCTGGGGGCCCACCTGTACTTATTGGATCCAACATACAGTACCTCTACTGACCCAACTGGAAATGACTCAGTAACTATGCATGGAGGGTAACAACGACCCTTTAGTAATCCTCCCACCATTTGGATTTCAGCCATATCATAAATTAGCCCTGTGGTTTCTGCCGTGTCGTTTAGTTTTCATTATTAACACCAATTCAAATAAATTTCACCTAAAATTCCTGAATATTTAAACTTAAACATAAAAGGAATATTAAGCCCTAAAGGTAAGGGAAATTATTATCAAATAACGATTTGAAAATAAAATAAATATAGAATAAAAAAGCATTGTATGAAAAACTGTAGCTTATTCATAATAAATAGCCAAGTGCACTGTTTATCATTTGAGAGGTTTAATATAATGAACCCCATTGATTTCAGAGCGCTCCTTTCATGTAACCATGATAAATATTTGATGACTGCTGTTGGGCCCTGTACTCACTGAGATGGAAACCAAGGAGTGTAGGGATAATAAAGGAAATGTGTGTGTGTGTGGATGTTGCTATAACATATGGAACAGAGAGGAGGAAAGTGTGTGTATGAATGGAAAGGGTGCAGTAATGACCCCCCTGTGAGCGGGGGGCGGAGCCCCCTTGTCTGGCCTCCTCCCTTATACCATTAATAAATAATTAACTAGAAATCTGCCAGTCGGAGCAAACTGGTGGCATATTACAAGGCACTATGTATGGCAAAGGCTATCAGCCAGAGGGTATCCATTCATGTGCATCAACCTATCTCCAGGGATGGGAGAAACTGATGGGGGAGTGGGTGGTTGAGGATGCTCAGTATGCTGGTCCGAAAAGTGGGGGTGTCAGGAGGGAGGTGTGAGAGATGCAGAGCAAACAGACAGAATCAGTCTCATGAAGGAAACCTTGCTATGACCATATAAGGGCATGGGCTCTGCTTTAGGCTTCAGATTGGTGGCTGCCATGCACTCATCTGGTGGCAACTTCAAAGTCATTTGGGGGGAGAGTTTGTGATGTCATGACTACCAAGATGGGCAGGTATGACTTAGGCTGACGTATTTTTTTTAAGAAAAAAGAAAAAAAACAGGATGTGGAAGAAAATATTGAGATCTTTAAATTATAGGAGCGGGAGAAAAAAATTATATGTTCTTTAAAGTAGCTGATAAAATATCTATACTGGGAAAAAATTATTATTTGTTAGTTGGTTCATTTTAGGTTTTGGAGCACATGATCATCAGTAACTATTTCCTTTTTTACATTGCAAAAATAAAGTGCAATGTTTTTATTTATGTCCTAAGTGATAGACATGGGGAGGTTTATAAGGAAGAGCATAGCATGTTTTAAAGAAATGAAATACAAATCTGTGAAGTGGGAGTATTTGTACTTCATTCCCCTTAATATATACTTTGCTGTACAATTTTACTTTTGTTTACTCTTCTTTTTAAAGTGGCTCTCAGTTACAGTAGACTGAAAGTTACTGCCCAAATCCATTTTTAAAAAAGATTCTCAGTTTGGTTTTGGTCTGGACTTTGACTGGGTCATTTTAAGACATCAATGTACTTTCTTTAATAACGTTCCCTTAGAGCTCTGGGTGTAAGTTTGTGGTTTTTGTTCTATAGGAAGGTAAAACTTGAACCCAATGTCAAGAGTTTTATACTTGATTTTGTAGAAGGTTTTCTTCCAGGGTCATTCTGTATCTTATCAGCCCTCTACTCAAAATCTCTTCCAAACAACTGAATCTGCTAAAGATGCTGTCAACCTGTTTCACAACGAGGGACGATGTGTTCAGGCTTTAAATGCAGTGTTTGACTCAGCATTTTATGTGCAGGGAATAAAACTTAATTTGTCAAACCTGGGTGACGTTTCACAAAGATGGATATTCGCACGAAAAAAGTGACTAAATCTATTAACAACAGGTTACATTCAATAATATTGAATTATGCAAGCTGTGATGCTATATATGCTTTTTGCTTCCACTTTACATTTAATTGCTACTTTGAGTTGGTCTGTCACAAAGAATCTTGATTAAATAAACTAAAGTCTGTGGTAACAAAAAAGAAATCTAAGGAAAATAGGAAAAACATGGAAAATAAGAAAGACAAAAAAAAAAAACTCTAAAGAAGTGTTTGGTTTTACTTTAGAGATATTTTGACTTTTTATCAAAACAGAAAATATAAAAAAAATATTGATTACCGAAGCAGCAAATAGCATCCAAGAATATGAAAGTATGAATATGAATTTTCAGATCTCATATTTTACATTAAAATTTGTTATAGATTTAGGAAAGAGACAGAAATCCTTTTCATCCTATCATGGGTGACTTCATCTATCGTATCTGCAAGCAACAATCAACTGAAAACAGACATGGAAGGGAATTTCAACAGGTCAGGAAAAACTTCAGAAATTCCTCCCTCCGGATTCATTCCCAAGTACATAAGTTCAAGTTAAAAGGAAAAACAACCGTATGGTATGAGTCATTTCTACTGAGAAAGAGCAGAACACATGAAAGCAGCCTAGACCTTTGCAAAGGGAACATTAATCTACAACATATACATACTCTGATGGAAAACATCCTTCAAAAGCCACATTGTATATGTGAAGTGTTTCAACTGGATGAGTCTCATTAATTGAAAAAGGTCGAGTAAATACATTGCCTTTCCTGCAGTGCTGACTCCTCATCTACCAAAAGTATTTGAAGAATTTGGAGCCAATTTAGTAGGTTTCTAATTTGTTCCCCATTACCCCTCTAACATGAAACAATGCATTCCTGGATAAAGTAGTTGAATTTATAAAGCCCTACAAGCCTGTTGCTTTGCTTAAGAAAACAATCAAACAAAACACAAGTAGTTTGGTGCTTTATATTCTGACACTCACCTCGCCCTTCTTCCAGGCTACAGACTGGCGCCTTGATGTCGTCTCCTCGTTGATGCTGGACAGAAAGTTCTGGGAGATTCTAAGGGCGTCCTGCAGGAGTGGATGGTCTGGGTGGCTGGTGGGTGTGTGCTTGAGCAAGTCCTTGTAGGAAATGAAGAAGTATTACATTAGAAACAAAACAAAACAAAAAAAAGGTTAGTGAAAAACAATTACGATGCTCAGTTAAAAAAAAAAAAAATGTATATATATATATATATATATATATACGTAACTGTGACTTTGGGGCTGCTACTTACATGTAACACCAAAGTGCTGCGTGTCACTCGGTCCACTGGTTTATACAGCAAAGCTGCAGTCAAAATTAAACAGAAACCAGACTGAAAATTTGATTCTGCTTGCAATGAATTTAAAAAAGAAAGATTGACAATTTAAGTTGACTTTAAAAAAAAAAGATAACACGACTGACCCTCCAGTGAGTTCTTGGCCATATCCTTACAGTCTTTAGGGCTCCTCACCTTTAGGTTCTGTTTGAGCAGAAAAAGCACCAAAATTAACTTGTCATCAATGACACAGAGTAGTTTAATGACATCAGTTCATGTTCAGGTTATATTATATAGTTATATTGCTTCAAGTACTAAAGCTCTTTCCCTTCCAGATTAATCGTACCATCCTCAGCAGCTTTTTTACCCCACTATTATGGTCAGATAGCTCAGAGCTATGCATCATGGCTTAGACCATTAACAACTCTTCCATGATGGATTTCCTGTCTAGCATATAGATGCCAGCTTCAACTCTGACTGAATGGCCCTCATGAAACATGGACAAAGACTGGAATTTAGAAAGATTCATGAGGGTTGAAAAAAAAAAAAGATAGAAGTAATGAGTCAAGTATCCCAAAGAAACGCCATCAGACTTTAGGGGAACATTTATTCCCCATTTAAAACAACAATGAATGAGTAGCTTTGTTTTTGAGATTAAGACTTGAGACTGAGATTAATATAAATATGAATATTAGATTACATCAAGTTTATGTTTGTTATAAAACCCTCTAAAATCAAATACTAGAAACTATACTCTTCAGATTTATTGTAAACTTTTAGGTCATTGCACCATGTTTATGGTAGAAAAGTTTAGGTTTCTAAAAGCATAAAAGTATCTGGGACAAAAGAACCTAATTCTTAAAGCAGCCTTAGAAAATATTTAAGGATATCTACTAAAATGGAATAAAATATAAGTTATACAGTAGGGGAATACTAATTATATTAAAACAATAATCACACCTCAGTTTAATTGTCTTTCGATGAAGCTACAAATTATAATAAGGACCACTTTTAAAACAAGATGAACAACTTGATAAAATAATTCTAATGGCAAGTAAAAAAACCAATATCAAAATGAGTAGGCATTGTTTCCCTAGTATAAAATGAGAGCTTGTATCTGTATAGATTATCTTTTGAAATTACCAATGAAATATCGAAAACAATTAGTTAAAATCAGATTGGATAGATATCAGCAGCCATAAAACTCTGGAAACCAGCTCTGAAAAGAATGAACAGATGACATGGTGAAGATTCAAACAATGTTGTCAAACTCAAGGACTGCAGGGGAGAAAAGGAAGATTAGGAAAGCCAATGGAACCTTCTCTGGTCCAGCACTGGAAAGTCTTTCATATCATAAATCAGATTTTAATTGATTACAGGAAATTTAACTACTGTGGACAAGATTTTCATTGATCCTTATTTCAATAGCTTTGTTCCACTACCTTACACAGTAATTGTTTGCCATTTTAAATTCTATAGACACAGTCAACAACCCTGGACTAAAACAGCAAGATTTACAATGTTTTAAATAATTATCAAAAAGGTCCAAAAGTATATCTATCGAAGGAACTGACTAGGCTAAAACTAGGCCAAACTTCTGATATCTTTTGTTTATGTAATGTGATTTAATGTTCATGACGCAGCCATGTGCACGAATGGGTGTTTTTTTTTTTTTTTTTTCAGAGCCCTCAAGGCCTTTTTTGTGTAGCTTGCAAAGCTGTATTATAAGCCATGCTCAGTATTTATTGATCAACTTAATCTAAGATCTTCTGAAAATCTTAATTTTTTAATAATTCCAGTAAAAAAAAAAAGACTACGTTGGCTGCTGCAGCTTCTACTTAGATTAAAAGCTGTGCAAATAGTAGCTCAACCACGAGTACCGTAGTAAAACTAAATATCAAAGGAAAACTTTAGTTTCTTAATGATGCTCCTTTGGCAATAAAAAAAAAATGATTCTTAAATAATTTCTATGCCATTTTATTTATCGACAATTGAAAATGCTAGCACTGGCCAGGCATTATAAAACACATTCAAAGCAGAATAAAAAGACTAAGATGTTTTTTCCTCATGGGTCAAGGATTTCCTCCTTTTGCCATTTTTGCATCCAGGGTGACTTTTTAAATATTAAATGTGAGCATAATTAAGGCTCTAGATCAAGTAAAGTAGTGCATTAGGCTATCCTAGTGCTGGACCAGCAGGTCAGTCAGGAATTACCACAATGTGACATCTTAATAAATATCTTAAGAGGGATAAAATAACAAGACTAATGTAGACTATGTACCACTGAAGGAATGGAGAATATAATTTTAATGCACTTTAAAGAAAATGTTCAAGCTTTAATGCTTTAACTGTTAATGTTGCCAAAACATCAACAAATGGGGTTGGTTTTAGGGATGAAAACTAACAATAATATTATAGAAAAGGAACAAGATATACATGTGAACATAAACAATTGTTTGTATCTGAATAAAGAAACCTAACAAAGTGTAAGAATTTAAATACATGGAGATTAAGGAAATGGTGTTTATGAATAAAGGGAGTTGTGCAAGTACAGTTCAACAGGGACAACAGGTTTCGAGTTTCTCTTTTTGACTCTCAAAAGGTTGCTTTTAAAAGAGACGTAGAAAAGTGAAGTTAGATCTTCCATAACTTAACCAAGTACAGATTTCCCATCTTATTTGGTCAGAAGGAGACAATGGGATTCCTCTTTTCCTTACCTCAGAGATTTCAGCAAACTGTGAGTTAGCCTGGCAGCACTTTTCCGCTGTCTCTACAGCAAGCTCATAGTTGTCCAGGAATGCCCGATACACTCCGAGCTGGCTCGCCTAAAGAGAAGAGAGTTCTTCATTATGAAAAAAATTTTAAACCAATAAAAAAGACAGAAATTTTAAGTAAAGGCTGAAAATGGCCTACCTAACTGCAACTGACATGAGGGGGGGTAATCTAACTAAACATCCAGCAAAGAAGACGGACGTATAAAAACGACCCCATTTAACTATGGTGCTCCTTGACGCTTGCTGCTATAGCAACTGCAAGACCTGTTCTGCGCTGAGTGGCATAATTAATGACTGCTGTAACAGAGGCTATGATAGTACATTTAGGAAGCTGGATGACAGAATTAAATTCCAGCGAACGCTGCCTGCCAGAGCAGAGATTCATCTTAGTGGAGAACAAAAGGATGATCAATTCTTCTGAACAAAAGCTGAGGGGAGAGCTTACGGTGGAGCGGAGGTGGGCCCTGTGTGAGCTGTCAAAGCCCAATCAACCTCCCACCCCCACCTACTGAAACACACACACACACTATACACACTATACTATTAAAATGCTAAGAAAATCTCCCCCCCTAAAATAAAAATTATTCAAGTTAAATTCATATACATTTTTATTTGTTTAACTCTTTTCAGGTAGCAACATTTCAGACCTTTTTTGGTCTTTTTAGGAATTTATTTTAGTGCTCTATTTGCCTTTTGCGATAGTGGTTAAATGTAAAAGCTTGAATATTTAGGCATATAACAAAATAAAGCATTTTATGCATTTTTCTCAAAACATAAATCCAGAACACAGAAACCAAAAACTGAACCTGGAGGACAGTCAGCACATGATAGTTATGCAAAGCATTTCCCTTTTTTAACTAAATCTACTTTTTATGGAATAAAGTGAAGAAAAGCCATAATTTTGTCTAAAACATCAGTTTTATTTGCTTTAATCAGACTTATTTCTTTTTCTTTGAAAATATTTCAAAAGTGTCTAATGCTGAGTTTTACTTATAGGTTAAAATATAAATACTAATGTAAATAAATGATTACTTCTGAAATTTTTTTTTTTTATAAAGAATTATGCAACCTGCATGTATCAACTTATCCTCTGGAACAAAAAAATAAAAATAAATAAACAATATTGCAAAATCACTTTGAATTGTATGCATGGAACCTGTACAGGAACTGTAAAAGTTTCAAACTACATGCCAAATATTTAAGAAAAAACTAAATGCCATATTTTATTTTAATATTAAAATAAACATTCCCAAAACAGATTTAACATGCTATTCGGCAGAAAAGTTGTCTCACTATGAATCAGCATGAAACAGGCAGGTGTTGCTTTAAAAATCCTTCCCCAGGCAGCCCATTCTGCACTATAGCAAGAGTGATTCAGAGCGTGACATCTTGAAGAACGGGGGAACGGGGGAGCCCAAACGTCCCACAACCACATCCCCATATAACAACTACACCTAAATTTAGTCAAATTCATCCTCAGTCCTCTGTTATCAGGCTTGATTAGCTCAAGTTGACAAAAACAATCACTTTCAGTTCATTTCTTGAACATTCCTATGTGTTCATGACTGTTGCTCACAAATTTGTTACTTAAATCTTGTCCCAGAAACTGTGAAAAAAAAGCTGATTTTGATGTTCCTTTACTCATCTCTAAGAAAATTCAAAGCTAGTTCCCAAGTCTGAAGCTCATGTTTAGCAGGATCAGGATCACAACTGTGAACGCGCCCCATTTCCTGCCTTCAAACGTTTCTCTCCGACACTTCACTCTCCTAGCCTGTCAGGGATGCTTTGCCTTTTCCTCTTTTCGTTGGCTCTCTCATCTTCCTCGTTCTGATGTCTCATGACAATCTGCAGGCTTTACTAAGCCTTTGCAGATTTGAGAGTCATGGTGAGACAGCTCTATCAGAGTTCCAGCAGTCGAAAAAATCTACTTGGCTTGTTGGCTCCCATCCTTTCACAGACGTCCCAACCCCACGAGGACTCATGCATCACCTCCTTTATTCCCTTTTAATTCTTTCCCCTTGTCTGCAGAACAGCATAGCTGTAAGTACTGTTTGACAGTAAGAAGGGATAAGATAGAAGTAGCTTCACTGCGTTCAGTCAATATTTGCCTGATTTTCTGGTAAGGATTATTGTGAAAAAAGAAGGCAATCTTGATAAGCATATATGGTTTCAGTACAGTCCTGCTTTTCCATAGGATAATCTTCTAAAGCATTTTCCATTTCAAATCCTACATTTTTAAAGACTCAGGTTTCTGAATATTTCTGGTGTCTTTCCAAACAACAACATTTCAGTGGAAAACAATTACCCTGATTTGGCTTTTACACTTTTGAGATTTCCTTAGGTTTCAAACCATAAAAAAAGGTTCAACAGTCGACAGAAGTTAATTTCTAATTCAAAAGTGTCCTTAAAGACAAATGCGGCAGACCTGTTGAAAATAAAAACAGCTTTTTATGACACAGTTTGCGATAATGGCTACTTAATGCTGCCTTTAAAGGTGAAAAACATAATGGTTTAATTGCATTATAGCTACACCAGACCTAATCTTTATTTGTGATATGGGAAATCGCATGGTATTATGTTAGGAAATGTTATATTTAAATTGAAAACTTTTTACATTCTGTGAACTTTTATACTGTAGAAAATAAAATAGTTAGGAAACAATACATTTCCAAACCAAATTTTCTACGTCCCTCACTCATTAAAACATGGATATATAACATAAATATAGATTTGGATATTCAAAAGTGAAATGTATTATGAATATTCTCCAGTATTAAAAGGAGAGGGTGATTTAATAATGTTTTTTTACTTGTACGATTGAGGTTTATCTGATTTAAATCCAAATTTAATTAAATGAACCAAAAAGAGAAAATAACTATTTAAAAGTAAAAGTATTCATCTTATAATTTTATTAGTTTTTATATATCTATGTATGAAAATATAAAACAAAATCAATCTTATTTTCTTATCCAAAGCCCAAAGGCAGCCTTCAGAGATTAATTAATAAGATTTTGTATGTGTGTGTGTGTGTGTGTGTGTGTGTGCACATGTGAGTGTGGTGAAAAGGAGCTCCTATTTATAGCAGCTTCTTGAAGACACAAAGCACACAGCGTTGTGATGGCCTCAGCTGCCTGAGGCAGAAAGGGGGCATTGTGAGGTAGGCCCCCGCTCCCCTTTGTGCGCATGTGCACACCGAACATAAACCAGTCGAATGGGGGGGATAGACAAGGGGCATGAAGAAGAGATCAGTGGGAGAGAAGCTGTATTTCTCAGAGTATTAACAAATGATTCATTGTGATTTAATTGACCCCCTGTGAAAATGATTAAATAGAACCAGTGTACTGTACATTTGGGCCTGACATTGTTTGAGAAACGGCTGTAGGACAAAAAGAGAGCAAGCAGCTGTTCAGGCAAGAAAAAGAAGAAAAGGAAATCCAGATCAATTTGCGTAATCTTGAAAAACATAAGAATATCTAAAAAAAAAAAAAAAAAAAAAATCACATCCGCTTTTATTTTTTACGTTTATCCAATTTGACTGACAGACCGCTTCTGAAATCATATGGTTGAAAGATGCAGCACATTGAGTAATGCAACTGCAGCTTTGTTGATT